TATCCACCAGCATGCGTTTCAGCCCGTTGCGAGCTACCACGGCTCTAACTACCAGGGCATCACAGTGTGGGAAGTGCACATTTGCAGCATCTTCCTGGGTAAATGTAATAGGCTCGCCGCCCTGCTGCTTTGTGATTGGTTGACTATATAGCTAATCATTGGTGTTGCTTTCACCTCCCTGATGTAATTCCTTTGTGCATTTTTTGATTCACCTCCCACATGGAGTCCACCAATGATGGTGTCAATTTCGCGAATGGGTTGCTGCTCATTCGAGGCTGCTGGATCTCTCCTAGGGTGTTGCTCATTTCGGAGTCTATCCCTATCATTGTTTCTGTCGTTGCACAGGGAGGTGTTGCCTCGTTTCACCTCTTCGAGGAGGGCTTCACCTCGGATTGTTATCTTGATAACAGTGATCTCTGGAGTTATGAGGGTTGCTTGTGGGCCTATTCGTCCCTCTATATTCGCTTGTGTCATGACCATAATAGCGAAGAATGGTGCAGTAGGGCCGCACTTCCTGGGACCTATCTCTAGGCCTCCCACCTCTCCCTCTATTTCTAGAGGTCGAGGCTGGTTTAGCATTTCTAGTTTGATTGCTTGTATTTGGCCCAACATTTTCATAAGCCAAGGTGAGGACTGCATTCAGAGTGGTAGTGGCCAGTGCCTGTCCTGAAGTGGGAGCCACAGTATGTCTGGCCTGAGTCCACTACTAGCTCATTATTTGAGAGGTGGGTCCCCTACCTATTTGCCTTTGAGGAGGTGGGAGCCTTTGGGCAGCCCTATTCCTGTAGTCAATCATCTCTTCGTTGACAATCTCAACCTTCATCATTTCTACCAATTCATCATACATAAAAGGATTCTTGCTTCGGACATCTCTCTAGAACAAAATGTTCATGTTTAATCCCCATTTCAGGGCTGAAAGGGCCTCTTTATTTGTGACTTGTTTACAGTAAGTTATCTCATCAGTGAAGCGAACGAGGTAGCTCTTTAGGGTCTCCCCTGCTGCTTGCCTCATGTCTTGCAAGCGTTGAATCGGCACCTCTCCTCCTTCCTAGAAAGATACTGGTTTAGGAATGCCCTTTTCAGGTCTGGCCAACTTTTTATGCTAAGCGGTGCCAATCTGCTGTACCATACTTCAGTAGCTCCACCTAGAGTTAGATGGAATGCCCTGCATTTCAAAGCTGGTGAGGCTCCTCTCAGGCTCATTTGAGTTTTATACTTGTTGAGATGCTTCTCCGGATCGCATTTCCCTTCGTACTTGGGGATCTTATGGAGGACAAAGTTATGAGGCATTAGAAACATGCAAAGTTCCCTGGAGAAGGGCAAATTGTCATCATCATCATTAAGTTCATATGACCTGCACGGTTCATCAGAAATATTCCCGTCTGTTGCTGGGCGAGGTGGATGTTGGGTAGTTTCAGCTCTATTTCCCCAATCCCCCATGTTCCGCCTCTTCCCCTTATTTCTGGGCGGAGGGGCTTGGACTTCACTCTACGCGCACTCCTGCTGGCGGGCTGTTTGGTGTGTAGGCTGGTTCCTATTTGTAGGCGCCCGTCCGATCCGATCAACAACGCTAGTAGACCTCTGTGACTGCTCTTCGTATTCTAGAGGGAACTTGTCCTCTCCTGCAGGGGCGTTGTCAACCGGAGTTGCTGTGTAGTTGGAAGTATCCATTCCCAGTTCTCTTTCGATAGGGGCTTCGCCCTGAGGGCTGAAATAGGTCCTCCAACTGGATTCTGCCTCAGTTCATCTATAGGCTGATTGCTGAAGATTTTGTGGGGGCTTAGGGACCACCTCGGTTCCGCGTTTGCCTCAGGAGTTCTTGCATTGCAGGATTTTGGACTGCGTTGTTTCTCATGTTTGTGGCCATACTAACCACTTCGGTAACCAATTGAGCTGTTCTGTTGCCTTTGCGATACAGGTGATGAGGTCATTGATGTGTGGCATTCCGTGAAATCTCTTTTTCAGAGATATCTCTTGTTCTTTTTGGGTTCACCCCTTCGTCGCTGGAACTCGTGGTCCGATGTAGGGTCTTCTCTCAGTAGTAGAGCTTGATGTGTAGATTCTTTTTCAAGAACCAATCCCTTTTTTAAGGGAGAATATCAACTGGATATTCGAACAAGCTTTTTGGTGGGAAGACTCGTGGTTAAAGTAAGTTTCCCACAGATGGCGCCAATTTGTTGACCTCGAAAAATGGCTCCGACACGTGGCCAACAGAAAATGTCTTTGAGTCAGCTCTTCCTGCACACGTNTGGCTCGGAAACGTGGCCAACAGGATAGGTCTTCAAGTCTGCGCTTCCTGCACACGTAGCACGTCGTTAGTCACTCGTGGCCTTTCCTGGAGGGGTTGGGAGCGGCATCAAACACTCCGATGGTCAAATCAGTTTAAAGTTCAACCGAAGAAAAGTTCATCAGCGGTGGAACACTTGTTGGGAAGTGGTTGACAAAATGTATATCAAAAAATGTTAATATTCAAGGGAAGAGAATACTTAATTCCACAATATAGTGGTAGTTTTGAGAGTGTTGGATTCCAATCCTTCTTCAGTCGCAAGGTGGGGGTATTTATATTAAGGATGGGAAGAGGAGGGCCGTTGGACTAGGAGACACGTGTTGTCAGATCCTCAGGGCTCATCCCATCCTAATTACCAATCCTTCCTTCCGTAGGTTGGCTAGCATTGAATATTTCTGACAGAAGTAGCTGATTTGACTGTTTGGGTCCTGCCACACGTCCCATCAGTCAGTGGTTTGACTTTGAAAAGATCTTTGTATAAGAGATCTTCAATGAGGCGTGGCGAGACAGGCGAGACATTGCAGCGTTGTAGAACAGGAGTGCGGGAATTTGCATCCGTGATATATTTGTGGATGAGTCCAGTTCGTTCCCTGGTGCTTATTCAGTTCGTTCTGTTGGGATCACTTCGGCATATGCAGCCAGCTAGTCCCATAAGCAATCACCTTGTCCGATGCGTGGCTGGTGTGGTTCACCTCCGATCACACGTGGAGGGTGAGGTGGCGGGTCTGACGCAGACCCGTAACAGTTACTTTTCTTTCAGTTGTTTAGTTTATTCTTTTTTCTATCGTTGCTGAAATGAAATCTTGATGAATCGACTTACTCCAATGCTTTAACATCTCTTATTAA